GTCCCACCTCTGAGCCTCTGGCTGCTGTCCTGGCTGTGTTTACCGGGGGATATCAGCTGCTTTCTTATTTATTATTTATTTTTACAACTGGAACCACCTTTGCTGTGTTACTGAAGTGAACGATGCACAATGGTCTGTTCTCATTACCGACGTAACGTTGTCCTTACAGAATAAAATGTAAAGAGAAAAATACCCTGACAGCATGGGCTGGGTCTGTACTTTTTTTTTTTCCTAGTTTTGGACTTCCAATTCATTTTCACATTCTAGTTCTGGATGCTTTGCAAAGCTGCTTGTGTTGGGTGGCTCAGGGAGCGTTTCCAGTCACTTTAAAAGTGACAGTGTCAAGAGCAGGAAAGGAAGGGGGAAGACTTTTGAAGCATAAAATTTTGTAGTATTTGGTTTATCAAAGAAAATCGAACAGTTCATAGAAAGAATGAAAGCAGAAGGGAAGTTCTGAATGTATGAACTGCCAGGGTATTCAGTACTGCTTTTATTGCTCATAATTTCTGAGCCCTTTACAGCACTGCAGTTTCCAATATCTGCTCAGTATTAGTAAAACACAAATGTCTTAAAATTGAGAGGATGCAATTTTTTTTGCAGAAAAAACCCCTGCTTTGGGGTCACTGACATAAATAGTACCTGATTTTTGTCAGTGACAAAATCATCAGTAGGACCTGATGATTGAATTCATTGACAAGGGAGAAAATCTCTGGTATCAGAGGGGTTATTAAAACCATCCTATTCCTGTGCAGAGTGCTTTGAGGTCTGAGCAGTTCCCTGGAGTGCTCTGGGAGGGAAGGGGAGGGTTGCACGCAAAGAGCTTTCCATGGAAGCACCCAGGGCTGCCTGTGGCAACACATGGAGAGGAGCACCCCAGTGCAGCTCGAAGGAGTGCTTGGAAAAAAAAACCCAACAGAAATGTGGTTATATTTCAGTTGCCTTCCTTCTATTTATTGTGTGTTCTGGAAGCCAAAATTAACTGGCCTGCGTCAGCGTAGGAGAGCGTGAGGGGACTGCCGAGGAGGAGCTGGAATCCCGGGAGAATAACTTGGGAATACGCATGTTCCAAGGTGCTACTATGAGCACAAGCCACCCCCTGCCATTCAAACGCATTTTACAAGAACCTGCAGCTGCAGCAGAACCTCCTGTGCCCCCTGACACAGCCATGCAGGGTCCAAGGATCAGCAGGATCTGTAAAATCCATTGGCTCTGCTCCATCCCCAGCCATGCAGTGGAAAGCAGGTCGAGCTTCCCCTCACCTTCCATTTCCTTTTAAATTAAGCATGGCCTTGTCTTACAAGCCAGGTGATTTGGGATCATAGAAGTTTGCATCTCTATCTGATCTTCGTCCGTGTCAGAGGGAAGAAATGAGCTGAAAAGTGTCCAGGAAATATTTAAATTACTTATCAGGAAAGAGAGCAGCAAAGCAGACTAGAAGCAGCCAGAATCAAAAATAATGTTGTTGTTCCTTTTTTTTTTTACTGCAGCTTCTGAAAGAAAAATATGAATACTTTGTCTTGCACACCTTGAAGTTAATTTAAAACTGATTGTCCATTAAAAAAAAATTAAACAGGCCAACAACAACAAAATAAAGAAGTAAAAAAATATGGAAGTAAAACCTTTTTGAGCTTTCTTTAGAAGTACATGTGAGGCTGTGTCCACCCTTGCTGCATTATGCGTGGCCCAAGCTGAGCCTCAGCCTTGGTGGCAGCTCTCAGACCCCACAGCTGATCCTGGACAATCCCATTTGCAGCCCAGTTTCCTCTGAGATGCTTCCCAAAGAGAAAACCCAGTCACTAAAAAAGCCAGAAGCCAGCCTTGCATCCAGCTGTGGCTGCAGCCAAAACCCAGTGGTAATACAACAAAACCTTAAAGCCTCGATGGGGGATAAAAATAACCCAACCCACAAAACCACGTTTGGGAAAGAGGAGCCAAAGCTTCCCGTGGCCGGCTGTGGTCACTCCCAATAAACCCCGGCTGAAGTTTCCCAGGGTTTGCAAATTTGGAAGATTTGAGCTCCGGGGAGCCACCATGGGGGCTGGCACTGCCCTGCCCCCAGGCTGTGAACACAAACTTGCTCCAGGGCCAGGTTTCCATGAGCCAGGATAGGGGGATGGATTTATTTGGTGGGAAAAAAAAGCCATTTCTCCATGCTCTGGGAGCCAGAGCATTCCCAGCAGCAGCCCAGGGGCTCCTGCAGCCAGAAGGTTCCTGCTCCAGTGGGACCAAGCAGCTTTGGGGTGGTCTTAGGACATGGACACGGATGCAGGAGTGCACTAAGACAAGGATTTAGGCAGGTGGATGTGCAGATATTTAAGTGTAGGAATTCTGAGCTTTCATTTTCCACGGATACACACGAGTGACAGCAGGCTGCATGCACGTCCACCCGTGATTTATTCCTCTCTTTAAAGAAAGGCCGTGAAGGAACGCTGTGCTATCTGGATATGTTTTGGGAGAGGATGCACTGAGCCATTTCAAGCACTCTGCCAGCCCCCAGGCCAGTGAGCAGGGAGGGAGCAGCTGCATGGCATCGCTCTGCAGCTTCCACTCCAAGGCTTTGCCTCAACCGAGTGCCAGAACTCACAGCTGATGTGCTCCACTCTGAACGCCAAGGTTGTCAATGCAAGGATTTGTACCCCTGGGCTGCCTCGGGAGCTGAGAAAGGATGAGAGAGAATTTTGCTGCTTTCAGCTGCTGCTGGGGCACGGAGGGCAGTGCTGGGGGCTGCAGCCCTCCTGCCCCCCCGGGCTGGGCTGCCTGTGCTGGAGGGGAGCTCGGGCATGCTGCAGCCCCAGCCTGGGGCAAGGATGGGCATGAGAAAGAGCTGGGAGAAATCCTGCTGGAGATCCCTCTGCTCTTCTTGGGAAAGGCATCCAAGCTCAGCTGCTCAGCCCGACTCCTTGTCTGACCTGTTCTGGCTGCTCTGGGCTGTTTTACAGGGATCTGCCCTGCTCTCCTTGCCCAGGGACTGGGATGTGCTGCCCTGCTTGGTGAGATCCCTGCCTGCCTCGCCGTTGCCCTCACCTCTCCTTGCTTTGCTGGCAAAAATTTCTCTTTTGGTGGTGATGAGGATTGAGCAGCAGTCCAAAAAACTAGAAAATGAAGTTTAAAAAAAGTGAAAATACTCCATAAAAGGCATAGATATGGGGGATGTGGTTCATTGGTGGACTTGGAGGTAATGGATGATGGATGGACTCAATGATCTTGGAGGTCTTTTCAAACCTAAATGGTTCTGTGAGAAGAGGTTGATGCTCCTCCATGGGTAGCATCACCTGCCATCCTTCTGTGGACTATTTTCCAGGGTTGTGTTCCAGCACTGAAAGTCACATCAGCACAGTCAAGCACATAAACCCTGGGATATTCCCACTTGGAAATATAATAAGAAAGCACGTGAAGTGAACATGAAGAAAAAAACTCATCCTACTATTCATAGCTCCTTTAAAAAAATAATTTTGCCCTTGGCAGGCAGTTTTTGTTGCCACATTTTGCCTCGTGTTTATTTGTGGCTGCTGGGAGGACAAGGATTCTCGGGAGATGTCATCTCAGGAGAGGGGATGCAAAAATGGGTGTAACTCCATCAGAATGGAGGAAAAGGGAGATTTTTCTTAGCTGTGCCCTTGATTTCCCTGCTGTGTCTCAGCAGCTCATCTCCTGAGTCCCTGGGTGTGTGGGGGCAAATTATGACTCTGCAGATGCACAAATACAGCAGGAACTCCATAACCCAGAGGCTACAGAATGCTGGTGGAGAGGGGCTCGGTTACTCCCCCACTTTAGAAAACCTCTGAGATCCTTTCATTCCCTGGAAATTGTCTGTCACAGGGACCCAGAGTTTAAACTTATGGCTCTGTGAAAAACAATTTGGATCAGCAAAGCACTACCAGCAAACCCTTCTTCACTGCCACAGCCCTCTGGTTGCAAACACCTTGTTCCCACCCCCATAGGGTTTGGGTTCCTACCATCCTAGGGATTTTCATCTTCCCACCATAAGATAACAAATGACTTTAATAAAACCAGCAAGCCGAAGAAGGCTCTTGTACTTGGGTGGGTGGGTGATGTGATGTTGTTATTTTGGGGGTTTTTTTAACGCCTTTTGGCTTTTTTTGGATGTCTTTACTGGCTTTGAAGCTGAGCTGTGCCCTTGCTCTGGTTGTTTATCTGTTTTTCAGCCTGCAAACAAGTACCTGAACACCAGCAGCTGCAGCACACAGCCCTGGTCAAACCAGGAGAGATTCTTCCTGGGAGTTAAAATGAGATCCTGACAGCTGTGAGACAGATTGCAGATTGCTCCCTGAGTTTTCACAATCTCTGTCCCCTTGGGGCTGTGTCAAGGTCTCCTGTGGCAGCACAAACCCTGCAGAATTCCATGCAGAGACCGTGGGATGTTCCCAGCCCCTGTGGATGCTGTGGGAAGCAGGATGCCCCACACCACAATGAGGTACAGGGATGTGTCTCCTGCAGAGGCAGAGTTTAGTGAAAGCTGGCATGGAGATGTGAGCCAGCAGTGCAGGGAGCAGTGCAGGCATCCATAAGGATTGGGATATCCATGGAAAACACGTGCAGGGCTGCATCCATCCGGCCCTTTAAGGGCTTTTCTCTGCCCTTGTGCCTGTGTCAGGCCATGTCTCCGTGTCCATATACAGATTCCCAGTTTGAGCACGTGCCAAGGCACCATGGAAATTCAGGAATTATTTGACTGACACAATTCCAGCCCCGTGAGCTGAATCCTGCTGCTGGCACAGTGCAGTGGGGGCGGCCGGGGGAGCTGCACAGGCTCTGCTGAGCTCCTCTCACGTCACAGGGCAGCGAAGGAAACTGGGTGGGATTTCCTGCACACGCTTTCCAGGCACATAAGGAAGGCCGGGGGAGCAGGCTGGGTGTTTGCACAGAGCTGCCTACAAGGAGCAGGATGGCAGGGAGCTGCCTGCCCGAGCTGTGAGGAACCCACAGATCTGCAGCTCAGCGATTCCCTGGGTGTCATTCAGCAGCATTTAGTCCCCTGATGCAGATGGATTTACCAAAAGGTGAGGAAAAGCTTAAAATGAAACCCCAAATATCGCCCCAGTCCCCAGCCCTGATGCATTCAATGCCTCCAGGACCTCAGTTCCTGCCCCAGTGCTGAGATGTCTGTGAACAGGGTCTGGGTGTACGGGGAGAGCACTTTGCTCATCACTTCTCTGCTGCCTGCTGAAAGAAAGGCCAAAACACCTCCCCCAGAGCCCCAGCAGGATAAAACCCTTCCTGGCAGGGCCCAGCACATATTTGGGACCTTTGCCAGCCGTGTCGTTGTGGGTGGCAGCAGGCAGGGCTGGGTGATACATCCGGACACACAGACATGGTCAAAAGTCAGTGGGGCGGGGATAGAAATATTGAAACACTTCCTGGAGTGCAGATCTCCTGACTCTGCTGCTCGGAGGAGGAGGAAGAAGGTGCTCAGCCCGTCTCTTCACCCTCCCAGGGTTCTGCTGTCCTGACAGGGGTGAGGAACTTGAGCCTCACCGTGCCCAGGGAATTCTGTGCTGCTTTTCTGGCCAGGAAAGTAACGTTTTAATTTTTTTTTTTTTTCTGGGGCAAAAGGTATTGAAATTAATACAAGATAATGAAATGCATCTAAATCAATGAAATACTGCGTTTATTTCCTGCTGGACAGGGAAATAAACCATCCAAAACCCCAATCTTTTGCTTTCTTGAGGGTAAATTCATGTCAATTTATACTTTGCTTTTATACCTTAAGACTTCTCTATCCATTTCCTGATTTGTTTAGGTAACTTACTTCCAGTTCAGCTCATCAGGCAGTAACTCCTCAAAGTGCTGATCACTTGAAAAGGGGCATTGGAGCCCCACTTTTTCTAGATACCAGATAGATAAAGGTAAATTAAGTCCTACCTGATCAATCTCCTAACGTGGTGAAAAGCTCAGGAGAGGCTTCCTGTCAGGTAGGGTCTCCTCATGGCCTGTAGAAGCAGGAAGGGTTGAGGCTGACTTTCTGTCTCACTCCAGGTGTTGGATCAGGGCCAGTCAGGACTGTGTGTGGTTGCCATCCCAAGCTGAAGGGGAATGCCCATCTCCACCTGACATTGTGGCTGGGGAATGGCTTAAAAGGTAACCTGTGATGAGTCTGAGATGACATTCACAGCAAAAGCAGCAGGGACACCTCTCTGGGCTATGAGGGGCTGGGGCCAGGCAGAGGAACAAGGAGTCCATGAGTGCTAAAACTGTGCTTCTCTCCAGGCCCTGGCTCTCCCAGCTGCACTGCTGCCCTCAGCTGCCCCTCACACAGGGCATGGAGTGTAAATGGTGAGGTTTCACAGGCTAATAAAATAATATTTTCTGTTCATTTTTCAGGTGAAGACCGCAGAGCCCTTAAAATTGCACCTAAAATGTTTCATCAGCCACGCCTGGAGCATCCCCCACAACGAAGGCACTGAGCACTGCGCCTCTCCCATCCTTCTGCGGATCCCTGGGTTCTGGTGGTGAGCCCAGAGCTCTTCCTGTGGCCACCATGGAGCTTAACACCCTTAACGCCGAGTTAAATACTGCTGTGAACAACGGGGAAAAAGAATCTGTGCTGGAGCTGCTGGAGCGAGGGGCAGATGTGAATTCCAAGGTGGAGGGTGGCTGGACACCCCTGCACATCGCAGTGCAAAACAATGAGGTGGAGCTGGTCCAGCTTCTGCTGGACAGGGGAGCTGATCTGCATGCCAGGAAGGACAACGGTGGCACTGCATTTACTGAGGCAGGGATAGCAGGGAACGTGGAGATCCTGGAGCTCCTCCTGGAGCGCGGGTCTGACATTAACTACCACGACATCAATGGCTTCACAGCTTTCATGGAGGCGGCGTGGTACGGGAGAGAGGAAGCCTTGAGATTCCTGCACAGCAGAGGAGCACAGGTGAATTTGAGGAGGAAGACCAGCGAGGAGAAAGCCAAGCTGCACAAAGGAGGTGCCACGGCGCTGATGGACGCTTGCAGGGAGCGCCACTTCTCGGCTGTGAAAATCCTGGTGCAGGAGATGGGGGCTGATGTGAACATCCGTGACAACAAAGACAGGAACGCCCTGATCCATGCCCTAAAGAAGGGCTCGAGCAAAGAAAGGTATGAGTCAGCTGTGTCCATAGCTCTCTACCTGCTGGAGCAGGGTGTGGATGTGAAGAGCAAAGATGAATGTGGGAAAACTGCCCTCATCCTGGCTGTTGAAATGGAGAGCCCGGAGCTGGTGACAGCTTTGCTGGAGAAGGATGAGATAGACATTGACGACGCAGACGAGGAGGGCAAAACAGCCCTGATGGTGGCCGTGGAGAAAGGTGACTGCAAAATAGCAAAGTTGTTGTGTGAAAAGGGAGCGAGGACTGATCTTGGGAACCTGATTGCAGTTGCAAAGAGAAAGCGTTCTCATAGCATGGAAAAACTTCTCCGTAAGCACAACGCCAAGTTTGTTCCAGAAACCCCCAGAGAGTGGGAGCCAAACAGCAAATGCTGGGGGGCCCAGCTGAAAAAACTTGATCAGATGTATCGCCCCATGATTGGCAAACTGAAGACATTTCCATACATCCAGCAGAGAATTCAGGATGGCATCTACCTCGGGCTCCACGGAGGGACAGAGGTAGCAGTGAGAATAACCCGCAGTGCAGAGGGTGACAAAGAGAAAGAGTTCTTGGAAAAATGTTCTCACTGCGAGCATCTACTGAAACTCTTCCAGTATGAGAAGGAAAAAGGCTGCGTGTACCTGTGCTTCCCACTCTGGGAGAAGAACCTCCAGGAATACCTGCAGGACCCTGAAGGCCAAAAGGATTACAAAGCTGCTCTGAAGATCATCTTCCAGGCACTGAGAGAGCTGCACTCCCTCGGATTTGCTCACCAGGATCTACAGCCCAGCAACTTTGTCATAGGTTATGTTTTGCTTTCTTTATGTTTTCATTTTGCTTTCCCTAGAGTTTAGAGAAGAAGGTGCTGCACAGCTGTCTGTAAAAGCAGGGATGTCTTTGTGCTGAATGGGGTGGCTTTAGATCTGCTCTTTAAATAAGTGCAGATCCATTCACAGGATCTGCAACCTTACACATCTCATCAGCTCTGTCCCCCTCTCCAGGGCTCTGCAGGCAGGTGAGCCCATCCCAGATGCCTTCAGAGAACTATTTTGTAAAGAAGGGGCCAGAAGTCAGTATGAAGGTTGGCCACCTTTATTTCTTAACAATTTCTCTTATTTCCTCAGATTTAGGTGGCAAAATTTACTTGGCAGACTTTGGTAATAAAAGAAGGTTGATTGAAGGCCAAGAAGAACTTGTGAAGTCAGATTTAGAGGTAAGTACTCTGCGAACCAACCTATGATTTAAAAGTTTGGGTGCTCTGTAGCTGTGGGTCCTAGAGAAAGGCTTTTTGCATCCCCAACTAGAAAATGCCTTGATTTGTGGGAAAAAACCCCAGTGTAGTGACAGATGTTGCACAAGATTTGGCTGCCCATCTCCTCTGTCCTTGTGCACACAGCTTCGAGGTTTGTGTTGGGTGTGTATTTTACACTTCTGGGCACCTGCAGGCTTTGGAGACACAAGTCCTCTTCCACTGGCTTGGAAGCTGGCACGGGAGCAGTGATGTCTCTTTGCAGGCCCTGGGCAGGCTCGTGCTCTATGTTTTAACAGGGGGTAGAAAACCCCTGCAGCAAGTTGGAATCAAGGATTTGGCTCCCAATTCCCCAGATTACTCAGAAGCTCTGGACCTTGTGCAAAGCCTGTCCTCTCCTGATGAACGAGGCTTGGAAGGCTTGAGCAAACATCCCTTTTTCTGGAGCAATCAGAGGTAAGTCCTGGGAGTACAAAGGAGGTGGGATTTTGGTGTGGGAACTGCCTGTAGTGCTGGGAACAGTGACATCCCATTGCAGCTAATGAAACTTTTCATCCCACAGCAGGTTCAACTTCCTGAAGTGTATATGGAATAAAACCAAAGACAACCAAAACAAAAAAAGTATTTTTCAACATCCTAATGTCACTAAGACAGCTTTTCCTTATCCAGAGTGGACCAAAATGGTAATCCTCTTCAATTTGGATTGATATCAATCGGGTTTGAGCTAGACATTCAGGCAGAAGATTTTCTGAGTGTTTCACAGGCTCTGTTTAAAAATGGAACTAGAAAAAATAGCCTCACACAAAATACAGACAACTGGGAAGAGCAATTCAACTGAAGGCATGTAGTCAGAAGATGTTGATGCTAAAGAGAGCTCTGCTAATTGGGATGATAAAAGGGGCTGATCATTCTTGAACTGGCTGGCAAACCTTCGAAGTATATTGGCTTTTGTGGGGTGTGAAAGGCAGGGAATAATCTGCGTGCTTGCTTTCAGATTGACAAAGATATTTTACACCTCATGGAAAATCCTAGGAATGCAAAACCTACCAAATACAGCAATGATGTCATCCAGCTCCTGAGGATCATGAGAAACATGGACGAACACAAAGATGCAGGGTATGTATTCTCATCCTTGCCCTTTCCATGGGTGCATAGAATCAGAGAATATCCTGAGCTGGAGAGGACCCACAAGGATCACCAAGTCCTGTCTTTACCCAGGACAAGCCCAAGAATCCCCACCATGTGCTTGAGAGAGCTGTTCAAGATGAAAGTGAAAGGTACATCCAGGTGCTAGAGGAATAGCAAAAAAAAAAAAAAAAAGGGATTGAGGAGTAGAAAAGTTGCAGCTCTGGGGTTTCTAGGAAACCTCTCCATGTTATCAGAAAGCCTCTGGAACAGCTTTTTATCTGCAAGAGCATCCTGGAATATTGACCCCTTGGACAAGATTTAAAAATCCTATTTGGTTTTGTTCTCTTTCAGGATCAGCAAAAAAATAGGAGACTATGCCGAGTATTTCCTGAAGGTTTTTCCAAAACTTACCATCTATGTGTACAACAGTCTACGCCAGAACCCCACGTACAGTCACTTTGCAGACTTCCAGGACCCTTCTCTGTAGGATGTCACTGCCTCCTGCCCCATGTCTGATCCCACCATCACTTCTTTTATTTCTTATTTGTTTGCCTGGAAAAGAGCTGAAGGTGTGGGTAAGGAGATGGGATAAAGCACATGCAGGGACGGAGTATGGAGGACTTAAATTAGGAAAGTTTCCAAAGAGTTTGGTGTAAAAACCAGGAACTTCAGATGCTCTGATTTGCACTGTGATTATATGTCGCTTATGGAAATGTTTTTCAGCTATGAAAATATTGGGTTTTATGTTTTGGGTTTTTTTTTTTTTTTCAACCTGTAATTGTTATTCTTTCAATGACCCTGTGGAGGAACAAACTTGAAATAAACTTGACTAGAAAACGGACTCTACACTCCTTGAGGAATGAGGTTCCCCCATGCCCTCTGCACAGGAAGAGAGGTTCTGCAGCACTGTCAAAGCACCACCTGCATCAGTGGTCCTGCCTCGAAGCCAAGGTCCTTCTGAGGGTCCTGGGAACCTTTTAAATGCATTATGGAAGTTTGGCTATGCAACTGTTGATGAGAAAATGCAACCAGGACAAACAATGACTCCTCTTGCACCAACA